CATTTCTTTTTCTCATTTTTTTCCTTCTGGTTGCTTAGTAGCAATAGTTGTCTTCACCTCACTAATGGCTAATCAGCACTACTGACAAACAGGGGAAGAAGCTGCATTAACTCAGTTGACTGATCTTCAAGCCTAATAGAAGAAAGAGGATGTTTTTCACAGAAAGTAGAACAAAGCTGGCAAGGAAATGGACTCCAATTATTCTGTCTTCTTGGAGACTAGCCAAAAAAAATCCATACCTTCAGGGAACACATTTGATCTTACAAAAAGCCCTTTATATCCACGATTCAGTCTACAAACCTTAAAAGTAGACTTACACATAAAACTTATTCTCTATTTCATATGATGGGTAACAAGTAAGTAGGCCCAACTAAATATCTGTTACTTTCACTAGATTCAATTCTGACCAACCATACTACTTATGATACGCAGGCTTAAATTCTAACTTATGATCCTCCTACTAGTCCTATGTTGTTTCTATATTGCTTCTTACTAAATTTCTGAGTTCACGCCAAGTCCAGACTAAATAAAGAGCTTTTTACTTGGAAAGCTGAACCCTTCTAATACAGCTAGTCCGACTTCACACCTGATTTTGGTATTCATATGATGTTAGATTTAACTGGAAATATTTTTGAAATACAGTCAATTATGGCAGTAATTTAAAATTAACTCACTTGTTTTGTTGCACATCCGTCTCAAATGATTGCTTAGAGACAAAATTGTATTCTACTCCCTCTTTCTCATGACTTTTCTTTGACCTGGTTGTATCTAGAAGAGAATGGATGCAAGACACAGAGACAGATCAGCCTTTGCAAAAATGAAGTTGTTTGTTTCGCTCCCAAGTGTACTATAACTAACCCAAAAATTAGGAGGCATACTTCTTACACCTGGTAGAAGCAGTAGTGTATGTCCCGTGGAAGAGTATCTCGTAACTGTTTGGAATACTGGACTCTCATTTTCTTTAAAACTTAGAAAATAAAAATTGGAAATACATAAGGTCTTATTATGTTGCCTCAAATTCAGAGTAAGAATTTCCCTGGCTGTTTTCTCATGCTGCTGTGAAACTTACATAATTATGTGTGTCCCTTACCTTTGACATCATAATTTCTTTTAATAATTGTTACTACTGTAGGAGAAGGTTTGGTGATCATTCTACAAATCTATGCCTGGCCATAAAAGTGATGTCTGCTATTTTTTTGTGTGTACATATTTAAATTCAAGTAAAAATTACCCATATAAGTTCCACTGCTAACTAATTGAATGTGTGCCTGACAGACCTTTATTGAAAGTCTTGAATAACATATAAAAAGTGCCCTCAATGTTAATTTTTTGGATTGCAAAAATAGCTTGTTGGGGAATACAAATATTGATGGATTATTTTTTTGTGGTTTTTTTTTTTTTTTCAGAAAATAATCCAGAAAAAAAAAAATTCAGTGTAACTGTAGCCACAAAACCATGAAGCAGAATCACTAATTTCTCTATCACTGTGACTGGCTTGTTTGAACAGTGTAGATATACTAATCACCAATTTAAAATCTTGTAAAAATGTTGACTTGGTTTACTGTTGTCTATTTTTTTTTTTTTTTTTTTAAACTTTTCTTCAGAATATCATACCAGCTAAAGTCATCCTCTTTTAAACACACATAATGTTTTGGCTGAATCTTAAGATACCAGTTTTTTACACTAGTTCTTTTTGTAATTTACAATCTTATTTTTTCTTCCTGTATTCAGGAAGAATTCTCATTTTTTTAATGGACACTGAGAAAACGCAATCTGTTCACTTGCGAAAACACAATTCAAAAAAAAATCAGCTGAGCTGACAGAATTCCAGAGTGCATACGTGCCAAGTTATGTAGTGATCTATTCAGCTATTAAGCGCAAACATAGTATATTACAATGAAAAAAATAATTTCAAGTACTTTGGAAATATGCATATAATCAATAGTCAAATTACAAACTACCATTCATCAATGCAGCCAACACTACACTATTAAGACAGCATTTATGGAATAAAGTGCCAACATACAGCAAGCAGTACATTTTACTCACGTGGAACTGCAACGCCATACTCCTGTGGGTTCTCTGACACAACCTTCTGCTTGAGCTCACTTAATTTGGCCCCCAAACAACCTAATAAAATAGAACCAACTGGCATATTTCTGTGTGGAATGAAATACTGCAAAGAGAATAAGTTATATCAATTTCACACAAATAACATTATACAGGAATGTGCTTGAAGAAACCTGTACATGAGAGTTGTCATGACATTCTGCTTTGAAAAACATCATCAGGAACAAACTGAATCCTTGAACAGCTATTGGACAAACATTTGTCTGGCACTCCATCAGAAAATCTGTAATCTTAGCAGTCAGTTTTATGACATACCCCTGTCTTCTAGGAAATTCTGGAAAATTAGCTTAACACAAAGATGTTCAGCACACTGAATTAAAATTGCATGCAAAATTTTGTTAGCTAATTCTAACATCTACGTTTTCATCAATTGTTCTGACAGCGTAAGTACGCACATGTTTGAGTGAGAGCCAATGCACCAAGCACCTACAGAAAGCCTCTTGGAGTCCAGGTGAAAAATTCTGAACCAGTTGTGTATCTTACCAATCAAAACCACCAGCCTCTGCTGTTCACCAGGCTGCTGCTGATATTTCGTGACTTCTTCGTATGTTAGGAACTCTGCTGCGTCCGCATCCTCTGCTTGCTTTCCTTCATTCAGATTGTTCTCCTTCTCTTTACGACTTAATCTAAAGCTCCTGCGTAAGCCAGCTGTAGAGGAAAACAAAAGAGATATTAAACCATGTCTCCACTTACTGAAATTTTCAAGCTTGTTCAGCTAGAGTTACTCTCACAAATTTTTTTAATGACATCAGTGTGCATATGCTAATCTTATAGATGAAAATTTGCATATCAGGCAGAAAACCAAGCACCCCATCTATAATAAAACCCCACTCACATCACCTTGAGTTGCCAAGTGTTGGTTATGCCAAAGTCCAATTATGTCTCTGCACAGAGATAAGCTAGTTTATGAATGTATGGGAAATTAACTGTAGTGTAAATAAGCTTTTAAGCTTATTTTTTAATGTGGGGGTAGTTTTTTGAGGTGGTGGTTTGGTGGTGTAGTGGAGTTTTTTTTGTGGTTTTGTTTGTTTTTTTTTTTTTGTTTTTTTTTTTTTTTTAAGAGGGCGTTAGGGAAGAGGAAAGGGATTTTGGTTTCTCACCTATGTACTGTCCGTTGAAATAGCCTTCGCAGTCACAGTCTTCTGTAAATTAAAAAGCAGGGCAGTGCAGGGGTGGGGGAGAGTGGGGGGTAAGGGCATAGGGGAAAGAAGAGAGGGGAAGAGGGAGATATCATAAACAGTGCGTGTGATATGAGTCTGGCTCACTGGTGAGAGAGGTTTTATAGCCTGCATTATATGGACACACTTTTCTAACACAAATATTAATGATACAAAAAAAATTATTTGCCTTGGCTAGTGGTTTATATTTTTAAAAAATCCTTGATGTCGATATCGCACAAGAGAATTTTACATCTCATTACTTACGGTTCCCAGAATTTATGCTCTTCAGCATTAATTACATTTGATCAGTGCTGCTGCTAAAAGTACAATATTCAGACTTAAGTAAAAAAGAAAACTCTGTAAACACAGAGCTTTTTTTTTTTTTTAAATTTATGACTTTATAAATGGGTTATGAGTATATAAGAATATTGGCTCTTCTGACATTTCAATAACATTTGGGCTTGAAAAAAGGGAATCAGAGATGACTGACATATGAGCTCTAAACCTCTTCATTTTGACTAAGTTAAATTATCATTGATTATTAATTCTTTATTAAAAAGGTAAAGATTTGATGCTTTTGTCATATGCATGTATGTAAAATAATACGCACATCTATGTTAAAAAAAAGCCAACCTACCCCTCCTCAAAGTATGACCACCCCCAAGGCCCCTAAAAGTATACAAAATAAAACCAAGAGACTTAGCTGCAAAACACTATAGTGCAATCCTAAGACAAACACCAAATTCTCATACTTCCTGAAAGAGGGCTACCTGGTTTGTTAAAATTTAGGGTGCCCTGCACTATCCACAGAACTCTACCCATTTTAAGAAGGAGATGTACGGTTCTGGGACAAGCCCAACCACAGGCAAAACTGTATGCAGCTTAAACCTTTAACAAAACATGTCAATCCAGAGAAAGAGCTTTCTTTTTTAATCAACAGTTGCATACAGGTATGTAATCAAGCAATACCAATGTATCCTCATAAAACATTATGCCTACATTAACAGAAGATACTAGTAGCAATATATGCCTATCTATAGCCAAGATCAGAGCTATTTTCTGTTGTTAAAGGTAGGCTCTAGTTTCACAATCGTGCTCCGATAGGGTATACCAGTCATGGCCAGCTAATTATAGAATACCATTAGTACTTTCACTGAAGTTGCTGGAATACCGATACTTGGAATATTATTCTCAAGAAGCATGGGGGGGGCGGAAATCACAGCATGCAGAATTCAACTGAAAATACCTGATATTTGGAAAGGGTGTGGTACAGGGAGATAGAAGCTCCATGAGCCCAACACAGTTGCTCATAATGAAAATAACACAGAAACAGTCTAAATGAACAGTGAAGAAAAATCAATTTGGATTGATACAGGGGCTCTAAAATGTTAAACCCCAATATTTCTTTTTTGTTTTTTAAATACCAAAGACTGCATTTAACATGCAATTCTTTCAACCTCACTCAGAAACCTACAGAACATGTAAATGCATATCAGAAGACACAAATCTTTTCTCTTGAATCAGGAGTAAATTTGGAAGGTACAATTACCTAAGTCATCAATCCAAATTAAGTTAGTTTAAATAACTGGGGAAGGAACTTCCGCAGGAACAAGCTATATCTACTATTCCCTTTGCTTGGGGCCTTAGCAAGTATTTTAGAAAATGCACTGATTGTTTATATTGATACAGCAAATGAGTTAGGAGACTACCTACCTTTATCAGAAGACTGATCATCTGTAGTTAGCATGAAAGGCAGAGTTGGTATGATATTAAAAGACTGGCAAGCGATTAAGTAAAATTAGAGGGAATGGAAAGGAAGGTTCTTCTGGTCTGATTTGCTTAACAGGCTTTTCTATCTTAAAAAAAAAAAAAAAGGACGAAAGTACCCTTATCAACTGATAAAAGACTTTTTTGCTAAAATTTAGTATTATAACCAGTTATCAGCTTAACTGTCTCAAGAATGTCTGAGAAAAAGCCCAAGTAGCAATTCTCATTACATGCCTCCTAACACTGAACATAAAGGAAAATAATTTGTAAAAGCTTCATTTAAAGCAGTAATGCTATTTTATAATTTGGTTGAGCATCTTCCCTCTTCTTTGTAGCGTAAGAATACCTGTATCTCCATAAGAATACCTATATGTCATCATGAGATGTACCATGCACCATGGGACAGAAGTTCACTTATATCACTGAAGATGGACAATTTCCAGATTCCTAGTCTACATGAGGGTGGAACTCCTAGCACAACGTCTGGCTTCACACAGTCACAGGGCTGCCCCACACATGAACAATATCTCTGCTGAAGTACTCAAGAGGTACTTCCAACAGGAACATTATATTCTGAGATAACAGCAAATGCCTTCTGCTTTTCATCACCGACTAGCAATTCATCACAAGTAGCAGTTTTTGTGTGAATAATTCACTGACAGAGGCTTCAGAGCTGTAAGCAGGAATCACTTTAAAGTCTACTTAAGACCAGCTCTGTAACGCTAAGTCTGAAATGCAGATGGTGTTGCCAACTACAGTGATTTTTATCCTCCTTAAAGCTACAGCTTATTTTCATACAAGCTTAGAGTCATTTCATGCATTTAGGTAAGAATTTCAAGAAACATGCATTGGGTTACTTTTGCAGCTTTCAAGTTTCAAGCTGCAGAAAAAATGCGAACACTAGCAAATTTTAAAGCATCTAAACAATGTATAAGGCCTCACGTTTAAAGTAGGAAGAGAGGGACAGCCATGTTTTTTGAAAACAATAGGCACTAGCAACACTGGATAAAGCTCAAATCCAAATCCTGTCACATGGCAGCTTGTATCCATGCAAATCAATCAATGACAGACTAAACAAAATATATTCAAACATCATTATTGAAATAAGAGAAAACTACTGAGAACCAACGTATCAACTAAGACATCACTGAAGGAACAGAACAGACTTACATAATGGTTTCTTCACAGTTCTGGGATTCTGCAGAGTGCCTATTGTTCTTCTGTAAGTCAATCGTCTAAATAGAAAATAATCATATTTTAGCCACGTAGGCTCAGAATTATAAAGAATTTATACCATGTTATATAGATAGCATTGAAAATAAAGAAGGAAATAGTGCTTTTCCTTGAAAAATATAAAATGTTTCTGATTCAACATTTTAAAAGACTTTTTCTTTAAAACTATGATGGTCCCATATTACTACTGATAAGCGACTGAGAGAAATATTTCTAAAACATTTTAGGCTTTCATACATCAGAGCACAGAAATCAATAGCACGTTACTTTTATCAAAATAATGTTTTTTTCTATTTCCTTTTCCCCACTCAATCTTCTTTGCAAGATTAAGAAAACAACAACTATTCTATTCTATTCTAATTCTGCTGAGAATCTGTTTGCCATTTTTACAAAGGATGGGCAAAATTCCTGTCTGCTACAATCCTAAAACCACTAACTTCAAAGAGAACTCAGAAGTACATAACTTTTGTCCAAAATGATCATTGCAGCTATGCATACTTAGAAATTTTCCATTGCCTTCCAGATCAGTTTGGAGTTTTCTGTTACTTACTAGTAAACAAACCAAGTTATCTAGCTTTTGTGAAAATGTAAGAACAGACTATCACATAAGATTTTCTGAGGTGTTAAAATCATGAACCAGAGCTCAACTCCTAATCTCCCAGTCTTTAATTTGCTCAAAAAACCCAACCTCCCCCCTACCCAAAACCCTGACACCAAAAAAAGCCCAACAATCCAGCACAAAAATCCAACCCCCAAGAAACCCCTCACTGTTGGCAAAGGAAACCACGTTTTCTTCCCAAGTGTTTTTTTGCAACAGACCAACATTCATAACAGACTGAAGAAGATGCTCAGACATTTATACAGTCACTCAGGGGAAAGAGACACTGAAGCAATTTTTATATTCTTGCATAGATTGAAATGTAGTTTACAAAGGACTGCAGCGCAGCAGCATCTGTAGACATATATGCATGCACAGGAAGGATACAGCTGTTCAGGCAGAATTTGCCTAATATTTCAATGGAGCATTCATATAGTGAATCAAAGTCCTCTATTAGAAACCTTATGCAAATCTTGGAGGCCAGTAATAGAATCAGACCTGTTTAAATCTTAGATACCCCACCTTTGTAACACCTACAATCAAAAGAAGACACATCCAGTAATTTGCATTAAGAATCACACAATGAGACCAGTGGCCTAAATCAGATTCCTTCTCAATTATAAGACTTCTGTGCTATAAATACAAGCATTCAGGGATATTTTTGCTTTAGAAGATACACAGATCTTGCTGTGAAAGGAGAAAGTTCAAGCTCTAGAAGGTATCCAGATCCAAGATAAGTACTCTCTTAGGAGCCAGAGGAAAGATCACATACACTTTTACTACTACTCCTACTACATGCAGAAATTCAAAATTGCTACAATAAATCAGCATTTCCTCTTACACTACAGAAGTACAAGTCTGTGAAACACAGTGTCTCCATAAGCCAAGAGGGTCAAGAGACTAATATTCCACATTTCTTCATATATGTTTGTTTAGCAAGTACTTGTGTCCTCATGCTACAAAGCGTAAGTCAATGGCAAACTAGCCAAGGAAAGCCAGGAAGTTTATTATATAATTGGAGAAGATGGAGCTTTTTAGTACTTTCCTCTAAGCATCTGGTATTTACCCTGGCATGATTCTGCCCTTCCTCTCCTGTGGGAAAAAAAGGATAAAATCAGTGTGACACTATATGTGTGAAAAAAAATCTGTAATCTTCATTGACAAACCTTTCTTGGAACTGCTTTGAGGGGATCAAGCCTGCTCTGAGGTTGGTATCTCCAACACGCTTTGCTTGCCACCATGTGGGATCATCTTGGCTTACAACTTCTAGGACGTGTCGTCTCTTAAATGGCAGTCCAGCCTCCTGGCAAGGAATGGCTCGGTCTTCTTTGGGATTATAGCAGAAAAGTGCCCTCATAAACACCTTTAAAAGAAAGTAACACATCCTTTCTTCTTGTCCTATTTGGAATTTCAAACTACCTTTAAAAGGCTACCCCAATGCTTACACTGCTAACTATATATACTCTTCATCTCTCCTTTATGTTTTCCAGTACTCAAAAATACTGAAACCTAGCAAGCTGCATCTGTATTTTGACTTACTCGTGTGGAAAAAATAAAACTAACTTTCAAGCACATACCCAGTCATTATGTATTGGCATTGTGGAACGTGGGTCTCAAAGATCAAAGTCCCAAGAAACACACTTCACAGTCTACGAAAGTACAAAGTGCAACAACAAAGGGAAAAAAAAATAAAATCAAGGGGAGAGAGAAAACAGTAAGAAGGGATTTATGGCAAAGTCGTCCAATTATAAAGACTGTCCTTAAAATGTTCCTTTAATGCATCAAAATCTAATATTCAACTTTGCATTTGTATCTTACCACTATTTAACACATCACAGTAGAACCACTTTTAAAAAAGGAAAAATTTGGCAACAGAGAGCAGGGAAGCAGAAACAGAGGTCAACAGAGGAATCCTGTAAGGGACCAGTCGAACAGTAAGTCACTGCTGATCAAGGAGGGCAAATGGAGCACTCAGAGGTGTGTTGATGTTTGCAGTAAGCTAATCGGGTCAAATGATGAATGCAGCTCTGTTTGCAAATAGGTCCGTTTTGACTCAAGTAAGTGGCAAAATGCCCAGAGATAACGGACAGATAGCAGCTGTCATGGTAAGAGGAGACTGGCAGGAACACCAATTTTAATTACATGAACAAAAAGAAGAGGCTAGATTTCAGAAATGCTACGAAAGAATGAGTGCCAAGATGATGAAGAAGAGAGAAGTCATATTGCATAAAAGGGCACTGCATTTTACAAGAAGAAACTGCTCTTTTTAGTTCAATTATGGGTCTGTGACACTCCTCACAGAAACAGCAGGAACCTTGCATTTACAGAGATGCCAGAATTGTGTAAACATGAAAATATGTGCTTCAGTGTTTCACTACATTGCGTACCTTGCTGTCTTTTAGACGATCTTCTTCTTTGATGGCTGGAATTATTTTTAATGTTATTGATCCCTGAGACTGAGCCTGAGAAAGACAGAAATGTTTTTTACTTTGGAAGCAGGAGAAGGACATAATGCAGACTATTCAAGTTCAGGTTTAGGAGCTAGCATCTGTCTCTTCTTCTCAGAACTTTAATAGGTCAAGCTAGACTATCACCATGTTCCATGAATGCTCCACAATAGTGTCTTCCCCATGGAGACATCCACAGTAACTACTTGGCTAGAACATATTAACACCTGCATTAAAATTCCTTCATCTGCTTTTCACCACTGCATTAATTTCTGGATTACAGTTCACAGGGCATTAAATACTTCTGTGACTTTTAGTACGACACTAACTTAAGTTTCTGCAGACTAACTATTTTAAAGCGTTCCTTTGAAAAATATCGCCGTATTTTCCCACATAGCGGCTAACTGGTTAGGGTGAAATGTAAACATCTACTTTCACTCTAAAAATCTTTGCTAGTAACTTTCAATTATTAGTTATAGTAAATTAAAAAGCACTTCTAGGTGCCTTGGAAATCCAGAACAGGTTTATCTGACCTATTTTAGATGCCTTATTTCAGATGAGGTGAACTGTGTCCTAGAGAAGCCTCCTATTTTACACACATTAAAAAGGAAACCCAGACAATCAGCACAGACAAACATTTGTAGCTCTTCCTCAAAAAATAAACCGTGAAAAGGAAACTATTGTATTGCAGGCATTTAAAATGAGACAGATGAATAGCATCCCAGGGTCCCCACAAATAAAACTTTATGCAGTATTTTGAAATATGATTTTTCCCCCCCCCCCCCAAGTTAAAAACCAGTCATTCTCCTTATTCAGGATTATTTTGATCTAAATTTCAATTAGGTGATGGAATCAATGCCAGATACTTCAGTTTCCTAGTGCTGCCATTATTCTTACCATGTCCCTAGCTCCACTCCACAAGACAAGGGGGAACTAAGCCACAAGAGGGGAGTCAGAGGCAAATAAGCGCAAGAGCTACGATGGTTTCTACCAAGATTTGTGGGCATTAATGTTAGAGAAGCTTGAAGGAAGAATTTGCTAATGTCACAAGGAATCTGCTAGTAAAGGACAGACTTTACAGCTCCACTGAACACGCAGCTGAGACTTTCTTCAGCTTCCTAACATACTGTATTATGAGTAAACTGCTTCTCTTCTAGGAATGCACTTTTAATTTGCAATGTGCTTGTCAGAAACAAAGCATGAATGGGAAGTTCTTGACAAAACAACATGTAACTTTATATTTGTATCTCACTTGGTACCGATTCAGTTGGCAGAAGTTTCTGAAGTCAAGAGGAGACGACCAATCCACTGGGAGAAGAAAAACTCTTAATACAAAGACAAGCAGGGATTGCATCTTTTAGCTCTATACGTATCTTAAGTCATGGTTAAGTTTCATCATCTATTGTAATTACTAGATCACCCAACAGAAAAGATCTTGAAATGAAAATCAATACAGACCAAAATCTGACTTATTTCTTCCGGTCGTTTGTGAAGCACAGTAATACCATTGACTTCTCTTAGTTCATCTCCGACATGGACAAGACCTGAAAAGACAGTAAGTAAAGTAAGTCTACAGACTGGAAAGCACCACTCCTCTTGATGTCCGATCTATGTCAACAGTATGTACCTTCTCTGTCGCTCCCCCAGCTTAATGGATTTCCTACTGCAGCCAAGTGCCTTTGTTGGCAATATGCTCTGAAGTCTCCCGCCCTTATTCATTAGGGCATTTTTTTGCATGCAGCACAGTCTCATAGGAGGCCAGTGTGAAGATAGAGAACATGTGGCAAGATACTATCAAAAATCACTGCCTCTATATTTGGATTAGCACTAAGAATGCAAAACTGGAATAGTTTCATGAGGATGATCAGATCTCGTAGAGTCGGGAGATGCACTGCTGACTATAGAGGCAGGAATGACACGGCCATCAACTGACAGATCAGCACTACACAGTCCCAGAAAGAATGCTGGACTGATTTTTTTTTTAACAAGTCATGAAGAGGCCTTTACAAATTTTAGGTTTGTTTATCCAGTTCAGTAAGAAATGTTGTACTTCCACTATAGAATTACTGTTAACTGATATAAAAGAATTTCTTAGTAAAGCAAACAGAAAACAACACATGATACACCGAATAAACCAAGATACTAGATTAAAGGTAAACAACATTCTTTTCTTTTTTTTCTTCTAAAGCTTAGACCTACTTCTCCCATCTCTGTTGAGGTTTTTTTCCTAGCAGCTATTTTAAAGAAAAACATATTTAATTAAATTAATAGATTACTGATGAAATACAGAAATGCTAAGTGCGCGCTCTAGTCATTTCACATCACATTTATCAGATTACACTAATCTGAAGAATGATAACAATCAAGAAGAAAGCTGTAATAAGCTAGTATTTTTTCATCACCGTAATTCATTAATTTTGGGATTGCATTACTTGTATATTAAAAAAGCACATGAGGCTTGGAGTCTGTAAATCTCATAAGGCCAATTCAGCTTACCTAATAAAATCTGGATGATCACCTTCTAGAAAATGGACAGTCAAATACTGCATGAATTAACCCTGTAGATCCTGAAAGCATGCTGAATGACAGCCTACGTACAGAAGTCTCCCCTGCTGCTAGATGCTAGAAATTCAGTTGTCAAGTGAGCTTACCATGTAGGCTCTCTTTATAGTCAATAAGGAAGAAAGACAATTCCAGCAGTGACCTATCCCATTCTAAAGCTGATTGGGATGATTTGTTCTCCAGCAATGACCATCTCCCTCCACTAACTACACAGAGAGCCTACATACTAGTTCAGACTTGACATCTAACAGTTGCCTATTAAGATTTCAATAGACTGTTATCTTTTTTTTTTTCCCTCAAAATAGTCTATACGTATACTAAACACCCTTGTCCAAAGGACTGGTTTTGGAACAAATAAACCATCAGATTTAGTTAGATATTATTACTCTAGGTATGTGTATACAGTATGCATCTGTGTGCATAATTTTGGAAATTTTAAAACAGTTTTCAAATGCAATTTTAAATCCCTTTTTCTTTAGAAATTTACCACTGCGATCAGCTGCACCACCTCTCATGATCCTCGCTACAATCACAGCTCCTGTATGCTCATCTCTTCTGATAGTAGCTCCCTGAAATAAAGCATAGCCCCCGCCAGAAACCATCATAAGAAATTTGCTTAGAATACAGCGAGCGGTGAAATAACATGCAAGCTAATGGGTCTTTTAAACTGGAATTAATTTGTTTTACAAATTTTGTCTTCCGCCTTGACAATTTTCACCATTATTCAACTTTTGCCTGTGTCCATGTCATGTGATTGCGGGAAGGTTCGAACACCTTCCTTTCTGCTAACTTCACCCAGTGCTTACACTACCTACATTACTGTGGTGATCAAAGTCACTCATGTGTGCAAAACAGAATTCCTTACACCAAGCTTTCTCTATGTGTCTTCTGAATATGCAATACAGCCAGCACTTTTACATATAAAAGCAAGGAAAGCCAAGTAATTAGAATTTATTTTTTTTTCTTCTCCTACCTCTGCTGCCAATATAAAGCTTTAATCAGGAATTAAGTCACAGTTCTCTTCTAGTACTGTGATCTAAAAAAAGCACTTCAGCAGATTTCTTCTGCGATGCAATTGTTTTACCTTAGGAAATAAATTCTTCCATTTCCATTTGTATTAAATTAGTACCTTGTCAATATGTTTACATACAGCTATCAAACATACTCTTACCATACATCACTGACTTTCATGCAAATGAAGATATTCATTAATTGAATATTAGCTACAATATGAAAAGAATTAATACATGTAAGCATAATTGCTTCAACATACAGAGTTTCCTCAGAGATCATGTTCCCTGTGCTAACTGGCATTATAAAACCATGCCTATAAAGCATCTCACACAAAATTGTGAAGGTGTATTTACCAAAGTTTTATGTTATTTTACTAGCTTCAGAACACTCCTAGTTTTTGCAGGCTATTTGATGACATCTTCAAGTATCTCCATACAATAATGCTTTTGCACTACAGAGTTTTATGACTAGAGATGGGTTATCTATATGTACCAAGGGTTCTTTATTTTTCACTAGCCGAACAATTTTCACTGATTCCTCATCAAAATCATCATCAAAGTTATCAGGCAGAGGTGGAAGGACTGGATCAAAGTTCTTCTGTGCTACAGTGTCATGTACTACAAGCATTGCCTGCATAAAGGAAATAAGAAACAGTAATGCAATGGGGTAATATTACAGTTTTCAGTTCTCATGTTTCCAACATTACAGCAAACTTAAACCTTCCCCTGTCCACGCTTACCATAAATCCCCCCCAAAAGGTTTAGCAATTATCTTACCCATCATGTAAACTCTATCTTGGTATATGTCGACATTTAAAGTAAATCTAGGCAGTAACAAATCTCAGCTTAAATGAACTTACAGAATGGAGGTGGATTTAGAAAGCAAAGAGTTGAGAAATGGTATCCTTTTCTGCTCCCTCAGAAAATATTAAGGAGGGGAAGGAAGACAACATGGTGCATTACACATGAAAGGCCTATGCTGTGTCTTCTCAATCCCCTTCGCATCCTAAAGCCTGTGCAGGAAATCAGAGTGGAATAGAACTAAAGTTTATAGGAGGTTTTTCCTTTCTCTTAGGGACTCGCAATGTAACTTTTCCATTACAAAATGTTCTATTGGAATTCTGCAAAGGAATTTTGTTAAGGTCTCTGGTGTGGTTTTTTTACCCTCAGATGTGGTGTTGACAACAGCTGAAGTAGCTCTTTTTCTTCATTATTCACTGGTGCAGTCTGCAATTCTTCTATTACCTTTGAAATAAAAATTAACAACCTGAAAATTAAAGGAGTCCACCAAACAAGATCATATATTTGCAAGTGAGTGTTTCTGGTGAGTGTTTGCTAACTTCTATCATCCTTCACAGTAGTGTGTACAGATCAAAAACAATCCCAATCAATAGCACACGAATCCTAAAAGAAATGAGAGCTTCTTCATCTATTTTATTTTTACTAGATAGTGCAGGAAGACATCATCAGAAATCAGGATCCTAGCCCCTAAACATTAAGAATGATTCTGCCAGTATAATTTCAGGAACAAGTTCTGAAATTTTAAATTCTATATGGAATCCGTAAGTGATATATGAAACAACACTCTTGTGCTTGTACTATGATAAAGGAGTTTAATCCTCTCTAACTTCTCTGTAACCATTACCCATGTGGAACATGCAACAGAAGCTCCCTTGTTCCCCTGCAAAGCTTGGATACCAAAATATGCCCTGGAGCCTGAGGCCTTCCAAACTAAGTATTAGAGAAATAATAGAAGCACTTTTGCACTAGGTTGCTTGAGTATGAGGAGGCGGGGGGGGCGGTGGTGATGAGAAAGGGAGAATGGGTAGAGGCAAGAGAGATTTCGTTTCCCTGTAAAGGGTTCTAGATAGGGAAGTCATACAGTCCTATACAAAACTTCTCCTCTGCTGTTAGGAGATGGTAATTTTGTATGACTTGACTGGCAGCAGTGCCAAAACTTTCATGGAGGCAGTAGGCTATTTGTGGGAAAGGGGGTATGCTGCAGGTTAAGATGGGGCAGTGGGGTCTCGTGGCTTTGCAAAGGGAAGAATTTTAGCTCCCAAACCTTCCACAGCCCTTTGCTACGCTTTAGAAGGAAACAGGCACAAGCCACTTGTAAAGAGCTGTCAAAGGCAGTATAAATTTCACTTTTTCAGGCACATGGCACATTACAAACAAATCTTAAGATAGAACTTTGCTCTGTGAACAGGCTGGAGAGTGAATTGATTGAGAGTAGCCCTGCAGAGAAGAACTCGAGGATACTGCTAGATGAAAAATCAGAGACATGACGTCAATGTGCACTTGCAGCCCAGAAAGCCAATTGTATCCCAGGCTGCATAAAGAGCAGCATGGCCAGCAGGCTGAGGGAGCTGATCCTCCCCCTCTATTCCGTCTATCCTGAGAACTACTTGCTCCAGGTACCCACCTGGAGTACCGCATCCAGTTCCAGGGTCCCCAGTACACGACAGACATGGACGTGTTCGAGTGCGTCCAGAGGGCCGTGAAAATGATCAGAGGGCTGGAACACCTCTTCTGTGAAGAAAGGCTGAGAGAGTTGGGGTTGTTCATCCCCGACAAGAGAAGTCTCCAGGGAGACCTTATTGCTGCCTTTCAACATATAAAGGGGGCTTAAAAGAAAAATGGAGAAAAGCTCTTTACCAAGGCCTGCAGTGACAGGACAAGGCAGCAGTTTTAAACAGAAAGAGGGCAGATTTAGATTGGATATAAGGAAGAATTTTTTTACGATGAGGGTAGTGAGATGCTGGAACAGGTTGCTCAGAGAAGTTGTAGATGCCCCACCACTGGAAACGTTCAAAGTCAGACTGGACAGGGCTTTGAGCAACCTGATCTAGTGAAAGGTGGCCCTGCCTATGGCAGGGCAGTTAAGACTAGATCATCTTTCAAGGTTCCTTCCAACCCAAACCATTCTATCTGAACAGCAATGCTGCTTGGGTTGTAATGGATTTAAGTCCTGAAGGCTGAATGCTTAGCTGGGATAGTCTATTGTCAAGAAAGGACTGAATGCTTTTTGCAGCCTCTCCCTTATGAAGGCCATTAATAACATCCTTCTGTACTACCTGCCTGTCTCTGTCTTTGCTGCGCATTTTATAGCATGGTATTTTTCAGCTCTCATTTCCTTGATCAAGGAGTGAAACTAGCCAACAGATTCCAACAACAGTTGGGGAAGATGAGAAATATGTACAACATATAGCACAATTGCAAAGCTTTGATTCATTAGAAAAGCAGGCTTAAATAACAGGAAAATAAGGAGACAAGAATTTTTACTCACATCTTCAACTAATCCTGCTGCACTATGTAAAACAGGAGTTGGACTCTGTCTTTCATAATGACGGAGTTTTTCATGAATCTGAAAAAGATTATTCAGGTATATTACTACAGAGAGATTCAAAACTTCCTAAATATACCTACACTGGAATATTTTTATATTTAAGGAGTATAATTTTTTCTGAGATAAGGGTCAGAAAAACAACCTCTCTTGGGGTTATTTTTGTTTTCTTGAGGAGTCTTTCAGTTTTCTTTTTGCTCACGCTAATTTCACAGACAGCCAGAAAATCTGTTAAGACTTTAGCAGCATAAGGGAAAAAATGAAACTGTTTCACACTGCTTTTTAGCTACAGGGCACTGTATCTGCATTTTGGCAATCAAAGCAGAAATGTTTTTTTCTGAAGAAAATATGTTAATTGTCAATGAATGCTCTTAATGTTTGTGCCTAAATAAATACATGCTTTGGTCAGTATTAAATTCTACCAAAAAAAAAAAAGCTTTGGCAAAGTAAACAGTTGATAAATCAAGGGAACAGAGAATAAATAAACTGTAAGAAAAAACATACATTCATAAACAACCTTTTACCTTCATCAGGTAGCTGAGACTCTTTTCACTAAAGACATCCCTAAGGAATCCCATTTCCTCTTTATGATTTGAATCAGGTCTTAGCTGAGAGGTCAAAAGGGCCAAAGCTTCATGCAATCCTGAATTTAAATTCAAGACAGAACAAAAGCTTTATACATAGCATGTCTCACAGGATCTTCTATTGCAGATTTAACATCAACTACATTTACTTGGGTACCATCTTGGTAATCATTAAGTTTGCAAAGAGATTTGTGGTTATCTTCCACTCAATTTCTAACACTCCCTTCTTAAGTGGCTAAAGATGTATATCATATAAAGGCAAAAGCTACTAAAGCAACATATATTTTTAAAGACATTACTTTTGAAGTTTCCCCCTTCATGTTAATTATCCTTTGTTTCTAGAACAGCTAGCCTTCTAACCAAATTTGAGTTATTAGAGTGCCACAGCAGACTTGTAAAATGACTCAACTACCTCCTTTGTTGCACAGCTACCAGCTCTACTTCCTGAGCAACTTTGCTTACAAGTGTTATCCTGCTCTTGCTACCTCTGAGGCACCTGTTAGAAGTCAAGTCTGACCAGAGGAGGAAAGGACCGGTGTAGATTTCCACTGCAGTGGAAGCAAAGCTTAAGGCTAGTTTTCAAAAAAATGCCTAAATCATCAATATCCCAATTTTGCAGTGCACAGGGCCAGATAAATGTTAGGTTTTTCCTGGTGGACCATGACTGGAAATACGGGGGAAAAAAAAAAAAAAAAAAAAAGGGCGGGGGGGCTAAAATCTGCTCCTTTGGCTATTCTCTCCATGAACTTTAGAGTGCATTTGGATCCAGAAGACTCAAACTCACTTCTGCTTTAAAACTCGGTATCATTAGCGTCTATGACTTCACCCAGGGTAGCGTATTGGAGAAGCTGGTTAGCAAGCCTTGAACAGAATCACCGTTTTTTTAAGTCAAAAGGAAGAATATTAGCAAAGCTTATCAACACCTATTCAGAAAACATTAAGAAGTGGCACAGCGAGCAGCAGATATATAAGGGCTGACCTTTAATAAGCATGCATAGAAGCCTGTGTTATACCGAGACGTCCAAATTTGTCCATAGGAGTCTGTCTACCAGCATATATTCCGGGGCTCTAGGGTTCTTATGAAACTAGATGTTTCCTGAAATCTGACTAACTTTATTCATTTCCACCTTTTTTACTCCACCTTCCTTGTATTCTTTTAGTTAATTGCTAAGAAATCTAGTTGAACTATCTTAATTCTGTTTTACTTAACTCCAACTTGAATTAATTTCCTGTGTGAAACACATACACTAAGATTCCAGTCACTGGTCTGTTGAAAGTGTGCAGATTAGTTACCTGAATCTTCCGAAAGCACTGGCATGGCTTTGTTCTTAATCTCAGAGACAAACGTTCAACTTAAATCAACACGATTGCTTCTTCTTTCTGGACTGCGATTCAGAGGCAGTCCTGAAATGAGCAAAGATAATACCTAAGCTCAAGCATGCGAGAAAAATGGCAAGCATGTAAAAATAGTAAATTCCTAGTACATAATTCTTTCAAGTGTTCAGCTTAACCTGAATCAGGCAGAGTCCTGCAGTTATTCTGCTATGCAAGTAACAACACTGAAAATATGATCTTATATAATAACTATATAGTATCTTGGATAAAGCTGAAGCTGAAGAGAGCAGATGCTTCCTGTTCTGTTCTCAAGACAGATAGTTTTTGAAGGCCTAAATAACTGCCTGAAAAGACAGAGAAGCAAAAAGCATGCTGCGGAATGGATGTCTACAAGCACCAATAAACACCATATGCACATAAATAGAGCATGCAGGAAGATGCCATCACAAGGTGGTGTGGGGCTTCCTAAAAGCACACCTCGAAGGAATTTACATCGCCCTGGCATTCTGATGCAGACTACACTACAATTACATGCAACTCATTAACGCTAGCACGAGTGTCATGCCATCAACCTTGCTCATGGGTACTAAGGATGCTACAAGAAATAAGGCTACTTCCATTGCTCAGAAATTCCATTAGATGCTTTTATTGCTGATTGTTCTTGTCAATGACGGCAAGTGACTCCACAGCAATTTAATTCCGAACTGCAAAGCTGAATCTATGCTTATAATTGCCAGTCCAAGATTAAACTCTTTGTGTGCTCCAGTGCTTTTAAAAATCTTTTTCATGCTCATAAAAGCCATCAGGCTAACGCTTGCAGAAAAATAAACAGCCAAAACAGCATGCAAAAAGGATTAGAAAGAAACATGTGATACTCCCAACTCTTCGCTAAATGCAATAAAGGATGCACCTTGTGTTTCCATTTCTAGATAAATCTCTGATAGTTTGATTGCATGATGTAAGTTTGATGGTTTTCGGATTCAACTTTATTTTGATTAGCTGCCTGAAAATACTGTAGTGCTGCATGGCAAATTAGCATATACCAGTTCAGCATTTTCTAGATTCCTGAGTTTCTCTACAACATACTGCAATATTAAGCTCAAAAGTCACCTGTGTTTTGCACCCCATATTTTCTACTGCTATGCTTAATTAGTTCACCTGGGTATCAAAACATAACTGAGTGTTGAAATTTCACTCTCACCATGGATCGTAGTCCAGTGTATTACATATACTACACGTGCATTTAATTAACTGTCAAAAGCATTGTTACCTATTGCTCTGAAGAAACAAACATTTCACCCACACACTTCATGCCACAGTCAAACTTATTTAGCACCAAAACCCAAGAAAGCCTGAGTTACTTTCCAGACTCTCAGTCAAAAAGCATCCCACACAGGAATCTAGAAAATACATGTTTTAACATCTCAAAAACCTGACAGCAAACTCAGGATCACCAGAATTAGACGAGTTAGGCAGAGCAATCAAAATGGAGGCTTCCCCTAGCAGCATTTCCCATGCTCTGTAAAAATCCTGTTAGCCAGGCCTGATTGAAATGAACATTCTGAAGAATAAAAAGCATTCCATATCAAATAATGCTCCATGTCAATACTCAAGTCTGGCTTCAAGCTATTAAACTCAGCCCCAGCATGTGATATTTTGCAAGAGGGGATCAAAACCATGAATCTGTCCTTTCATCATTGTAGTATGAATAGGCTCAAATACACTTTTTCTCTTTAAAACTATCTACCCAAAACCGTAATTAATTCTTCACACATATCCTTGCCCACCTGTTCCTGAGACAGAACATTTGAGCCACCTTCCATGCCTAGGAAAAGGAATATTGATATTTGGAAAGAGCTAAATAAACTGAACTGATGGTCTAGATGGGGTCAAAGAAGGAGATTAAACAGAAACGTAATATGCTTTGGCATATCTCCATTACCTTGGAAAATAAACCTAGTGTGATTCACAGCCCAATACAACATAAAGCTTCTGTAATCCAGACAGATTGGTCAAAGCAGCAGACCTCATTTTGGAAAGCATTTGCATTTTAACATTTTTCCAGCAGATGATCAACCCAGCGATTAGGTCAGAAAATGCATCTGCATGATAGTAAGATTATAGCTGATAGCTACAACACAAGATTTCTCCTCACTTTGTTTTCGCATACAAAAAGTATCCAAATCTGACCGAACTAGTCTTTCGCTGGGTACTATACCTACTTCAGCACTAAAAGAGCGACAGCTCTGATGGCTGAACGAAGCACGGAGAAAACCACACATCGCTCCCTGTTCGGCACCACGGTGACAGGCTCTTTGTCCGAGCCCCCACAGCAGGCGCGTAACGAGCACCGGCGGCCTGGACTCAGCCGAGCGGCCCTCAGGCGACCTAGGGGCTTGGCGGGAACCCGAGGGGCGGAGCACAGCGTGGCAGACCAGCTTCCCTGGCACTGCAGGGCAGGGCTCTCCCGCCCCGGAGAGAGCTTTCCATGCGCTCCATCGAGCTCGGACACCGATGACTCTGCCGGCGGCAAGGCTAGCGCGGCCAGCCCTCCTCATGGCCCGGCCGCGGGCCCAACGGTTATGGA